AGGGAAGGGGTCCAGACATCTCGGGACGACACTGCGAAAAAATCACGACGTCGGGGGTCTGGGCCTGGTCCTCCAGGAGGTCTCTGAGGAGGCCTCCGCTGGTGATCTGGGAGGTCTCTCGGGCGTCTCGTAGTCAGAAACGGCAGCGCAGGGCGCTTCAATGGCAGAGGTCTCCCAGAGGTCTCGGGAAGAGGACCAGGGGGGTCTCCGGGAGACCTCCCCTCCTCCTCGGAGGGATTTCCTAGGAGTGGTCCGGGAGGTCTCGGGGAGGACCAGGCGAGGCCTCTTCAGAGACCTCCTGGACGACCATGGGAGGCTTCATCGGAGACCTCTGGGAGGACCTGGGGAGGCCTCCTGGAAGACCTCTCGGAGGTCCAGGAGAGGTCTCTCGAGTCGTGCTCCCTCCTCCTCCTCCTCCTCCTCCTCCTCCTCCTCCTCCTTCTCCTCCTCTTCCTCGTCCTCCTCTTCCGCCTCCTCCTCAGCCTCTTCCACCTCCTCCTCCAACTCCTCCTCCTCCTCCTCCTCCTCCTCCTCCTCCTCCTCCTCCTCCTCCTCCTCGTCATCCTTCTCCTCCTCCTCCTCTTCCTCCTCTTGCTCCTCCTCCTCCTCGTCCTCCTCCTTCTCATCATCATCATCATCATCATCATCATCATCATCATCATCATCATCAGCATCATCATCATCATCATCATCATCATCATCATCACCATCATCATCATCATCAGCAGCATCAGCACCAGCATCAGCATCAGCATCGTCATCATCATCATCATCATCATCATCATCATCATCATCATCATCCACCTCCTCCTGCTCCACCTCCTCCTCCTCTTCCTTCTCCTCCTCTTCCTCCTCCGCATTATCCTGATAGTGATAATGCAGAATGATAATGACAACGATGCTGATACGAGTAGTACTAACAACACGAAGAACAAGAACAACCACACAATCACAGCCACAACCACAACCACAACAACAACAACAACAACAACAATAACAACAACAACAACAATAACCATCATTTAAGACTGTTCGCCCTTATCTGCTCGAGTGTCAAATAACGCATATTTCCCAAACCCTCGATACCCGCCCTCTTCGTCGTCGATCGAACCCCTTTTGGGGGGTATACCTTTCTTCCCTGCAGGTCGGGCCCCAGCAAGCGACAGGGCGGCCGCGGACCGTCGGCCTGGCCAGCGGCAGCGCTGATCGGCGGGGCGGCCGCGGACCGTCGACCCGACCCCAAGAGGGACGGACACGGGACCGATCACGACGACGACGACGACGACGACGAAGACGACGTCGACGACGACGGCGACGACGACAACGACGGCGACGACGAGCGAAAGCGAGAGCGAGAGAGAACGACAGCAGGGCCACGAAGGACACGAAGTAGGCCACGAAGGGCAACAGCGGGGACACGAAGGGAATGCGTATGGGGCCACGAAGAGCGCGAACGAGCGGGGGCCACGAAGGGCAAATAATGCGGGGCCACAGAAGGCAACGATGGGGCCACTGAGGGTAGCAACTGTGCCACGTGGGACAGTGAGAGGGCCACAGACGGCGACAGCGGGGCCACGAAGGGCATGCACATGGGGTAACAACGGGCGCGACTCCTGGGTGCCTGGGTGTTGGGAGCGCGGCGCTTGAGCAAATTGAAAGAAATTCCAACGCAAGGGCGCTATTCCTCGGTAAATTGCAAGCAAGTCTCCAGCGAGAGCGCGACTCCAGAGCGCCAGGAGAGCGATTCCTGAATAAATTGTGAGGAAGTCCCAAACGAGAGCGCGATTCCTGAATAAAATGCGAGGAAGTCTCGGGCGGGAGAGGGGGTCCTGGCTAAATTGTGAGGAAGTCCCAGGCGGGAGCCGTTGTTTGTGTAACCCGGGGGGCCAGGGGCCCAGTTTGAACGTCAAGACTTTCCCTGTCAAGAAACAGGGTGCGAGCGTCGAGGGGCACACTTTGATTCAGAAAAAACAGTATGCACCGGTGGGGGGGATCAACAATAATTGTTCTTCAGGAATGAGAGGTCAACAACACTAATGACAACAACAACAACAACAACAACAGCAGCAGAAACAACAACAAACGACAAACAACAACAACAACAACAACAACAACAACAACAACAACAACAACAACAACAACAATTACTAGCACGTGGGGACACTCCGTTCTCACCAGTGCCAGGGTTTTCATAGGAGGCGGGCAATACCCCCACTTTGTGGGGGGGCCGGTTCAAGCTCTACCAAATTTCCAAACGACTCTTCGCCACCACCCACACCCAGCTTCCCGCCCTATGACGTTCGGACACTTCACTTCGTGGCATGCGGACGACCGTGGCTACTATTCAGGGCCCCGCGGCCGACGACGACGGCGTGCGCGCGCGAAGAAAAAACGAATGTGTCCCGCATGGTATTATTTGACAGGGATGATGGCCCTGGCAGGTGCGCAACCGTTGTCGCAGAAGTTCGAAAAAGTTGCTCGCAAAAGCCCGTTTGACAGAAATGTTTAAAAAGTGTTGGGTTTCCTACGAATCCGCAAGAGCGCGCGGGATGAGATTTTGACAATTTTTTGTTGAAAAACCATTGGTTTTTTGATGTTTTTATGTTAAAATCGCTGCGAACACTAAGGTTTTGGAAGGATTTCGTCTTGCGCGCGCGAATGTCCACTTTACCTTATTTTTTGCAAGGGATTCTTGAAATTTGATTATATTAGAACAAGAAATGTCATTTTCTATTGTTTTTTGCAAGGGAAAGCGGATTACAACAAAACAACCGGATCCTGTACACACCCTCTTTTCTGAGGCTTCCTCACGAAAATGATGAAAATGTAGCTGCGGCCTAGGCGGCGCAGGGGGGGCGCGCACCAGGGGGCCCAACAATAATTATTCTTTAGAATAAATAATGTTCAACAACAACAACAACAACAACAACCACAACAACAACAACAACTACTACTACTACTACTACGACAACAACCACCACGACGACGACGACGACGACGACGACGACAACGACAACGACGACTACAACAACAACTACCACAACAACAGCAACAACAATATCAGCAAGACCAACAAAAAACATGAATCCTTTATCATAAATGTTATGAAGTTGTAATACTAGCAACTATATATGATGATGAAAGTAAAAAAACAACAATGATAATCAGCAGCAGCATCATACTCACAATCATCATGAACAACATCATCAGTTGCATAAGTATCATCAGCATCATCATCATCATCATCATCATCAGCATCATCATCATCATCATCATCATCATCATAAGCATCATCATCATCATCATCATCAGCATCATCATCATCAGCATCATCATCATAATCAGCATCATCATCAACAACCTCACCACCATCATCATCCTCATCATCATCGTCAGCATCATCATCAGCAGCAGATTCATCATCATCAGCATCATCACCATCAGAATCATCATCATCATCAGCAGCAGCAGCATCATCAGTATCATTGTCAGCATCATCATCAGCAGCATCATCATCAGCATGATCACCATCATCATCATCAGCAGCATCATCATTATCAGCATCATCATCATCATCATCATCATCATCATCATCATCATCATCATCATCAACATCAACAGCATCAGCATCAGCAGCATCAGCATCAGCATCAGCAGTATCAGCATCAGCATCAGCATCAGCATCATCAGCATCATCAGCAGCATCATCGTCTTCAGTAGCATCCTCATCACCAGCATCATCAGCGTCATAATCAGCAGCATCAGCATCATCATCAGCACATTCATCATCATCAGCAGCAGAATCATCCTTATCATCATCATCATCATCAGCAGCAGCATCATCATCAGCAGCAGCATCGTCCTCCTCATCATCATCGTCATCAGCATCATCATCGTCATCATCATCATCATAAGCAACATCATCATCATCATCTCGATAGTCATCTTCATCATCATCATCAGCATCATCATCGTCACCATCAGCAGCATCACCATCATCAGTAGCATCAGCATCATCATCAACATTATCATCATATGCATCATCATCATCATCATCATCATCATCATCATCATCATCAGCAGCAGCATCATCATCATCATCATCATCAACAGGAGCATCATCATCAACAACATCAACATCATCGTCATCCTCATCCTCATCCTCATCCTCATCCTCAGCCTCAGCCTCAGCCTCATCCACTTCTCTTATGTGAGACATTTGACGGTCCCCCTCCTTCTTTCCCCCTTCTCATGGGGTCCAAAACGCCATTCTAAGAGGGGCGGAGGGCAGGGCCAGGAGGGAGGGGGGAACGATCTTGTCAACGCAACCCCAGGGCCTCCAGAGCCCTCAAAAAGCCCCATCGCAGCCCAACAGGGCCCAGACAGAGCGCCAAGACAGTCGAAGAGGGCGTCAAGACGGCCCACGACGATCCAAGATGGCTTCAAGATGGCCCACGAGGCCCTCAAGACAGCCCAAAGGCGCCCCCTGAGGATCGCCGAGCGGGCCCCCAATCAGCACATTCGCATTTACGTTTTGACAGCGAACACGCTGGCCCAAGTGGCCCCCAAGCTCGTCCCCAGACGGCCCCGAGACGGCCCAAGAAGGCCCCAAGACGGCCCCACGGGGCCCCGCAAGACGGCCCAAGACAGCCCCTGGAGGGCCGATCGGGTCGTGAGCGCCAGGGAGTGCGAACCCTTTCAGAACCTCTAGCTGCTGGCGTTGGTGCCGCGCTCCTTCGGGCCACAGGCCATGCGCCGCGGACTGGCCTCCACAAGCCGGCCCCGCCTTCCCTCTGCGGGCCTCCTCCGCCGCCCCGTCCTCGTCCTTCTCGCTGCCTGCCCCCCCTCCCCGATAGCGAACCGCCTCGCACTCCCTTCCCTTCCTCTCCGTCTCCCACTCCTTCCCCTCCCTTCCCTCCCTCCCTCCCGTCCCTTCCCTCCCTCTCCCTTCTCTTCTCTTCCCTTCGCTTCCCTTCCCTCCTGTCCCCCTAGCTCCCTCCGTCCCGCTCTCCCTCTCATCTTCTCATTTTGCGCCCCTTGGCCCCACCCGGCAAATGCGACATCCTCGCTACGGAGAGCTTGTACCCGAGGTGAGCAGAATCTGCCACGGAGAGCGAGCTCTCGAACGTCGCTTGGCCGTAGACGGTCAGGGTCGACATGAGTGCTGTCGTGTCCTGCCAGGGCGTCCAGCCCTTTCTCCCTCCACACTATCCTCCTGCTCCTCCTCCTCCTCCTCCTCATCCTCCTCCTCCTCCTCCTCCTCCTCCTCCTTCCTCCTCCTCCTCCTCCTCCTCCTCTCCTCCTGCTCCTCCTCCTCCTCCGCCTCACCCTCCGCCTCCTCCTCCTCACTCCTCCTCCATCATGCTCGCTCCTCCTCCTCCTCCTCTCCTCCTCCTCCTCCTCCTCCTCCTCCTCCTCCTCTCCTCCTTCTCCTCCTCCTGCTCCTCCTCCTCCTCCGCCTCACCCTCCGCCTCCTCCTCCTCCTCCTCCTCTCTCCTCCTCCTCCATCCTGCTCGCTCTCCTCCTCCTCCTCCTCCTCCTCCTCCTCCTCCTCCTCCTCCTCCTCCTCCTCCTCCTCCTCCTCCCCTCCTCCTCCTCCTCCTCCTCCTCCTCCTCCTCCTCCTCCTCCTCCTCCTCCTCCTCCTCCTCTTCCTCCTCCCCCTTCCCCCCTCCCTCCTGACGACCCTAATGCCCTAAGAGCTCGACTCGATTCGCATCCTCCGCCCCTCCCATCGTCGATTCTCTTGAGAGTCGGAGGGCGTCAGAGTTGGCTGGCATAGATCAGCCACTCAGAAGCTGGAGTCGGGGTTTGGGAAATCGGGGTCGGAGATGGGAGCGGGAGTCGGAGCCAGAGTCGGAGAGATGGAAGCCGGAGTGGGAGAGAAGACTCGGAGAGCTGGCGTCGCGAGTAGGGAGCCAGTCGGAGAGGTGCCGGAGTCGGAAAAACAAGAGCCTGAGTCGGAGAGATAGGAGCAGGAGTCGGAGAGATGAAGAAACCAGATTTGGGTGTCGACGAATAGTAAGCCAGAGAGGGAGAGGTGGGAGCCAGAGTCGGAAAAACGAGAGCTGGATTCGGAGACACGGAGAAGGAACCGACGACATGAAGGATGAGGGGGAAAGAACGGAAGCGAAAGCAAGGAGGCACGACAGGGTAAGCAGGGGAAGGAAGGAGGAGGAAAGGGAAAAGAGAGAGGCAGTAAACGGAGGGCAGAGGAGAAAACGGTGAGCACGATACGAAAGAGTAGGGAGGCGGGGAAGGGGGAAGACGGAGGAGGGCGAGGGCTGGGGTACGGAGACAGGAGGGAGCAAGACTCCGCGATATCATTGAGCAACCGCGCCAGCCAACGGCTAGTTGCTGGAAACGCTGCTTGCGTTGGGACAACTCGATACAGTCCCACGCCAGCGACCTTTGGAAAAAATGAACCCGCAAGGGGCTGCAAGGAGAGGGGTGCGAAAAGCGACCGTCGATCATCCTCAATGCGCGGGTTAGTGACAACGTGCGCTTACCCACCGAAGCCCCTCTGTGCGACGCAGGCAACGTAACAAAGGCCAACACGGGCTGCGCGCTATCGGTGGAGATGAACGAGGCAAAAACGTATTCGTTTGGCGTCGCGGCGGCGCGCGCAGCTGCGCAGCGGAGTCAGTCAGCAGGGTGCCGGAACGGCCGAGGCGCCCGCAGGGGCGGCCGGGGTCTCACGCAGCCGGGGCGAGGAGCGCAGCGTTCACCTGTTGGGAACCACGCTGTGCGGCCGTCCGTCGGGGGGGAGTGGGGGGCGAAGTCGCACGCCCAGCGAAACAGACGAACGCCCGGCGAAGCCAGGGAAGCGAAGCTCCCAGGGATGCGCTGGGAGGCGGAAAAGCGCCGGGTCCTCATCCGCGGGCGGCGGCAGGCAGTGCGCGGCAAGCATCAGGTCGGGCGCGTCCCCCTACAGGCGGATTTTTGGACGAAACATGAAAAAGACCCCCCACAAAAAAATCTAAAATTGTCCAAAGGATCCTCCCCATATCATATATATATATATATTGTGCTTGAATATTCCTCCTGCAGAGGGACAGGCCGACTTCAAGCAGGCAGCGGGCGGCAGGCGGGCGGCGCGGGGCAGCGAGCGGCGGCGCCCGAGCGGGCGCAGCCCAACGGGAGGGCGGCGGGCAGTGCCGGCGGGCGCCAAGCATCGTCACCGCAGCTGCACGGTTTCCCCAGGGGCCGTAGGCGACCCGAGGAGGAGGAGGAGGAGGAGGAGGAGGAGGAGGAGGAGGAGGAGGAGGAGGAGGAGCCCCGGCGCGACAAGGGGAGAGGGAGCTGGGCCACTCAGAGCTGCCGACGGCATGGACAGACAGGGACCGCCCAGGCGGGACGGGTCCGCCTGCCGGAAGACGTGGCGGCGCAGCCGGCCTCGAGCACGCCATCCAGCCTCGCGGCGAGGCCGTCCCTGCTGATCCGACGGCGGCGTGGAGCCTGAAAAGACAGGATCGCGCTGGGGCTAAGTCGGGCCTGTCCCC